AATTTATAGATGAAACGAAATCATTATGAACCCGGTGTTTCATCGTAATACGGCCGCAAACTTGTAGAGAAATAATTAATTTCACCATTACTATTAGAATATTCAGCACTTCCGTATCGGTTCAGGACGTGGGTGATCATAGCTCTCCACAACTTCCTGTCCATACTAACTTTAAGCAATGTCTTTCCCCTCACAATTCCTCTGAATCTGTTCTGTCGTCTATTTACGCAAGATAGGTCTCCCTTTGTCTCTGATATATATCGCATGAATGCCAAATTCTCCAAGCCATTTTCCCTCATTTTTCTCCCGGAAATTTACAAGTGCCTCTTATTTTAAAGACAAGAGTATAATTTGTTCATATTTAAACTTCCTAATTGCTCACATCTTCTGTCCATGGAATTTTCAGCATCCTTCTGTAGAAACACTGCAGATTAGCACCCCGTTTCTTAATATAGTGAGCTGCTGCTATATTTAGGGAAGGAGCTGCCCAGTCTTCACATTCCAGTTTCCTGGGTAAGACGATAAACTACATCCGTCGTCCTGGGTAAGACGATGAACTATATCCAACAGCAAGGCCTCTGATCAGGAGGTTTTGAGGAGCGTAGAACCACCTCTTAATTGCTGGTGTTCCCAGGTCTACCATGACGCGGGTGGTAGCACCAGTTAGGGTCCCAGCTATGTGTAAAGAGTTAACCCCCAAACTGGGGTCAAAACACTGTGAAAGTGTAAAAATAGGTTTTAATACCGGCAATACATTTTTGTAAAAATATTACCAGCATGGAATTATTGAAGAAAAAATTATTACCAGCGATATATTTATGAAAAAAAAACTAAAAAACATTATCAGCAATAAATTTTGAAGGAAAAAATTATTACCAGCGATACATTTTTGAAGAACAAAAAATATTACCAGCAATACAGTTTAGAAAAAAAAAATATTAGTAGCAACACATTTTAAAAAAAAAAATGTTACCAGCAATAAAAAAAACTTGTCGGCATTAAATAACCCATTTAGGTTGATATGTCGTAAAACAAACCAAACCAAATTAATATATACTGAAACAGATAGATAGATAGATAGATAGATAGATAGATAGATAAAAAATATAACCAGCAATAAAAATCTTGTCGGCATTAAATAACCCATTGAGGTTGATATGCCGTAAAACAAACCAAACTAAATCAATATATACTGAAATAGATAGATAGATAGATAGATAGATAAAAAATATTACCAGCAATAAAAATCTTGTCGGCATTAAATAACCCATTGAGGTTATATGCCGTAAAACATACTAAACCACACCAAATCCGCATAAACTATGCCTCTTACTCGGTAACCCTCTATGACGAGTGGCTCTCGGGCCTTTTACGGAGTGAAAATCCTTGTAAAGAAAAAAGCGTTTAGAAGGCATATTTCGCGGTGAAAATGCGCCTTCGGATCTCTGTTTCTTGAATGGGTATAAAAAAGAAGAAACTAATTTGTTGCCTCTTTAATACCTTCGTTTGATTTGAGGGTACTTTTAGAGAGAAGATATGAAACAAAACATGTTTTAATTTTATTTAAATCCCCTAAGAGGAAAAACAAACAATTATGAATTTAATATATAGCACTATATATAGTAAGTATATTTTAAAAATATTATTGATTAGGCAATAAATATTTTTCATAGGGATAATACTCCTTTTTGAACGGAAGCATATTAATATTTTTGGCAAGAGAATTTCAGTGTTGTAGTGTTTGGTCATAAATAACACCAGATAATATCCGTTTAGTCTGCGTAAATTTTCCCGAGAAATAATTAACTTTCTATAAAAAGAAATGAAATTGGGATCTCTTTTATTTATGGGTGGTACTCTACGTTTATTTGTACATATGTAGGTGAAGCATAAATTCCGTGGCCTAATCAAAAAATACTTATTTGCCAGTGAAATCACATAATTCAATGCACTTCAGGCAATGATGACGCATTAATCAAAGAAATAAAGAATTATGTGCGTGGAAATGTCAAACCAAATTTTAAGGCAACATTCTATGTAGACTTTGACTGTAAAATCAAACACGCATGCCCTCATATATATATATATATATATATATATATGTGAAAAGTGAATATAAATATAAATAAATATATATATATGTATAATTATTTATATATTATATGCGCGGTACTTATTAGAAAGCGCTCAATATCAGAGATAGAGCTAACATATTTGGTTGGATCCAACCAAATATATATATATATATATATATATATATATGCAAGCTTCATTAAATATGACAGATAAGGTGCTTTGATTAAGTTTTTTATATAATTTCTCATATGATCTTATAATTCTTTTTCTTTTTAATAGATAAACCATACAAAAACTGTCCCAATGTTAAATTTTCTCGGGAGCTTTTGGCTATACATTTAGCCATTTTCAACGTTGAAATATGTTAACTGTTAACTAGAAATAAATTGTTGTATGTAGGTATTTATTATTATAGAATGTTTTATTTTCAAAACACGGTCAACATATTTTGTCCATGTTCATAGTTGATATTATTGAGTGTTGTTTTTATTTCTTTTTTTATTAATAAGTCTTCCATTATTTTTAGCCATTGTTTACATGTAGACGACGCTATGCTATTATATTTGTATTATCAACAAGTATGTTGTCGATAGGGTCCGGTATGTCTCCATAAGTATTTAAATGGGACCTATTTGAACTATGATCAGAAAGATGTAGCGTTAGTCTTCTCGTTAAACATGTTGTGGTGTGGTCAGTATAATTTTTTACGAATTCTGATTTTGAATGTTAGATATTCCAGGAAGTATAAATAATATAAAAGCTAAATTATAGCCATCTGAAGATGATCATAAGTACTTGTACGAAACCTCTTGAACAAAAAACATGACTGTTTACCAATTTAACCAAGTACGTCTTACGATAAACCGTTTCAAAAGAGGAACTGGAACTGGAATGAGAGATGCGAGGATCGTTATTGAATCCATGATAAAAATTTAAAACGTGGAATTAGGAAATTCTAACCAATTTAAATATCTCGTTGCCTTTATCAATTATAACGGATTTAGGAGATAAAGAAACTGAACATCGGATAAGCTGCGCTAATGGTAGTTTTGCACAACACCTCAACATGCCGCAAAACCAAAATACTAATCGGTGAACTGTAACCTTTTACGGATGATATACCTGGTGTTCAAATCGTTCAAAATTATCTAAACAGTTTTATACAACCATTTTCTCAAATCTTTGATTAAAATGTATCAAACGAATAAAGCCTGTAGGTTGTAAACAATCCAATCCTCCTTCAGATTTTAAAGACTGCCGCTACAGAATCAGGAAGAAATAAAATCCAGAACATTTGAACACTCCCAACAGCAGCAAGAAGAAAAATGTTTAACATGTGTAACTAGAAAGGAAGTTATTAATATAATCAATAAGTTGAATTTCCATACTATCTTAAGTTAAAGGTTTGGAAGGAAAACTCCCGTCAATACTAGAACGGGTGATAAAAGATGATTTGAAAAGTTTAATTACCAGAAAAAAATTAATTTATGAATTTCAGTTGACAATAACGCTGATTGGTCAATGAATATGGGATCTTTCTTGTATCGAAAGAAGTAATTTATTCAAATATTATAATTAACTTTAATCCCATGAATCAGCATACCCTGTATGTATATAGAGACTACACAAGAAGTAATAACATTTGTTTGATGATCGCTTTTTGTCGTAAAACTGACAGTAATCATGCAGTGTTGTATTATGATCAATATCTATCTATCTATCTATCTATCTATCTATCTATCTATCTAAAGCTTTCTATATCGATCTATCGAAAGTTTCCATATCTATCTGTCTATCGAAAGCTTTCCATATCTATCTATCTATCTATCTATCTATCTATCTATCTATCTATCCAAAGCTTTCCATATCTATCTATCTATCTATCTATCTATCTATCTATCTATCTAAATCTTTCTTTGTGGAATATGCGCATCTAAGCGAAAAATTAAATTAATCTTCAAACACGGATCTATAAATTTTAATAATTTTTATTTATTGGAGTAATATTTTTTTTCAAATTGAAAGAAATGAATTACAAAAATACGTTGTGAACATCTTCACGCAAAATGTAATGTGCATACGTTTTTTACAGTATAACTGAATGAATTGCGTTAGTATAGGATAAACGATAAATTCCTCTACAGATGTATGTAACAGGTTCAGTGTGTATGAATTACAGCTATAGACATTATGAACGTTGCATGTGTACTGATGTATTTATCACAAGTTTACATTGTTTGCACTGTGTGTATAAATTCTAGTTGTAGACTGGATGAAAGAAAGCAGGAAGTTATGTGTGCATCTGTTGATGCATGTTAACAAACGATCGCTAAGCATTATTTTGTAACATTGTATACTAGAAATAAATAAGAGAAAGATGTGAGGTAATTTCAGTTTTCTTTGTGCGACATACGATCGAACAAACACTCTGGTCAAAGGTTCACTGAAAGACTAGTTAGCAAACAAGAATTCATCATATTTATAATAACAATGTAGGCTTCGGGGGAATCTAAAATTTAGATTTATTAATGGTAAGCTTATTAGTTAATATATATTTTTAAATATTCCATTTAAGGAAAAAAAATATTGTTGAACATATTTTGAAGTTGAGCGTCCAATTTGGATTCTGATAAATTTGGCTGTCTGCCAATTCAATGAATACCGCGCGTTTCGTACGACATCGCTGGTTGGTTATATAAATGAATAAAAAAGATTCAAATAATCGGAGACTGTCAATGCAAAAAAAAAATGAGTTTCATTTGGTATGATGAAGTTTCAGTACTTAAATCTATTTGCATATTTCTACAATTCTGAAACGGGGATCCAGATCGATCTATCTATCTATCTATCTATCTATCTATCTATCTATCTCATTCTGTTCATATCTATCTATCTATCTAGCTAGCTAGATACCTAGCTATCTAATGTTTTCCATATCTATCTCGCTATCAAAAACTTTCCATATCTATCTATCTATCTATCTATCTATCTATCTATCTATCTATCAACGTCTCTCTCTATATATATTTATATGTATGTATTCTTTCTGTATATGTATGCATGGTTGTTTTAAAGTAGAATAATCTATCTATCTATCTATCTATCTATCTATCTATCTATCTATCCGAATCTGTTACTTACCTATTTCAGTTTCTCCATATCTATCTATCTATCTATCTATCTATCTATCTTCATTTTGTGGATAGATACATATATGCATGAGGTTTCAAAGTACAATAAACATTTCTTTTCTGTCTGTCTGTCTTTTCTCCTCTCTCTCTCTCTATCTCTCTCTCTCTCTCTCTCTCTCTCTCTCTCTCTATATATATATATATATATATATATATATATATATATATATATATATATATATATATTTTACAATAAAAATATCAAAAATTAAAATCTTCAGACACACTGGGTTGATTAAGATTTCGTTTTTTTTATTATTATTCCATTTAGATTCCTCGACTAGTTTTCGACCAAAATGGCCATCATCGGGAGAAGAAATATTTCTGCTTGCTGGTAGCAGTAAACTAAAAAAAAATATATATATATATATATATATATATATATATATATATATATATATATATATATATGCATGGGTGTTTAAAAGTAGAATAGCTATGTATCTATCTATTAATCTATCTGTTGAAAGCTTTCCAGATCTATCTATCTATCTATCTATCTATCTATCTATCTATCTATCTATCTATCTATCTATGTATGCCTGTGCTTGAGTGCATTTAAAGTGATGCATAGGAACAGAGATAAAAGCGTCGGGAAGCCAACACGGGAACACAAAAACGCATCGAAAAGCCAATTATCGTTTAGATTAAAATAAAATCGTACGCATATATCAAAATAAGTTTGCAATGATTGATTAGCCACACTGTTTTACCTGTGAGTCGATAGATAAGTAATAAAAGGAATTCCCTTAGTGAGGGTTAGAAGGTTTGAAGAACATCACCAAACACGACAGCCAGAACAAAAGCCTCTTAAGAGCCAGAGAAATTCTTAGTCGAGAGCAGAGGACCTGATATTTGTGGATGCTGTTTCTATAAACAACAGTTCAATTCTCTCTTTTAGAAGATTATCTGAAATTTCTAGTTGTTCGTTACATTAAACTTTACTAAAATATTCATAAAAATACTTTCAAATTGAGAAAATATTTCATTCATTTTATTTAAGGGGCTGATATCCTTATAATCTTTTCGTCTATTTATTAATGATTTAAATTATTTTTGTTTGCTTTTTATCCCAATGCTAAAATCGTTTTTATTTTACGTCACAGATAATTACTGTACACTTCTGCATCTGTCAAAATTTCTGAGATGATTTATTATGCACACTATTTACATTATTCGAACTATTGTCCTCATCTTTGTCGCCAAATTTATTACAACGTTTCTGCCTTTCAATATCTGTCTATATTTCTGAGATGAGGTATTATGTACACAATTTACATTATTCGGACTATTGTCCTCATCTTTGTCGCCATATTTATTCCAACGTTTCGGCCTTTCAGTATCTGTCTATATTTCTGAGATGAGGTATTATGTACACAATTTACATTATTCGGACTATTGTCCTCATCTTTGTCGCCATATTTATTCCAACGTTTCTGCATTTCAGTATCTGTCTATATTTCTGAGATGAGGTATTATGTACACAATTTACATTATTCGGACTATTGTCCTCATCTTTGTCGCCATATTTATTCCAACGTTTCGGCCTTTCAGTATCTGTCTATATTTCTGAGATGAGGTATTATGTACACTATTTACATTATTCCGACTATTGTCCTCATCTTTGTCGCCATATTTATTACAACGTTTCTGCCTTTCAGTATCTGTCTATATTTTTGAGATGAGGTATTATGCACACCATTTACATTATTCGGACTATTGTTCTCATCTTTGTTTCCATATTTATCACAACGTTTCGGCCTTTCAGTATCTGTCTATATTTTTTAGATGAGGTATTATGTACACTATTTACATTATTCAGACTAGTGTCCTCATCTTTGTCGCCATATTTGTTGCAACGTTCCGTCCTTTCAGTATCTGTCTATATTTTTGAGATGAGGTATTATGTACACTATTTACATTATTCGGACTATTGTCCTCATCTTTGTCGCCACATTTATCACAACGTTTCGGCTTTCCAGTATCTGTCTATATTTCTGAGATGAGGTATTATGTATTTTGTGTGTGTGTGTGTGTGTGTGTGTGTGTGTGACACACATTTTTTGGGGAAATCTTGCAATGAAACTTTCAGAAACTATTCACAGATGATCGATATTATTATAAATATTTTTTTTATTAAAGTCATGGCAGAAATATTTTTTTAATATTTATTCCCCCCACCCCCATAAGTAATTTTATCGATCGCGTCAGGTTTAGTGATTACAGTAGTTAAAAGCACAAGGCTTTGAGGAATGCAATGTTTTTTTTTTGTTTTTAATTGGACCCCCTCTACCTGAAAATCAGTTCTGAATTGTAACATACAAAACTCAATAAAACAAAGATATTATTTAATTTCAAATGCTTTTATTTGCTTTTAGTTGTTTATATGAATATGGACAATATTTTCTGAAAGCAAAAATTTTTTCGATGAAAAATGAATTTTTAATACAATTATTTGTTATTTCTTTAATTATAATATAGTTTTACATTTAAATATTATAAAATTAGTTAAAAGTCGCATTGGGTTTCCTAAGTGTCCTTATGAAATAGATCTTTTTTTAGCGCTTTGTAAGTTATATCATTTTGACTAATTAGAAGACCCGCAGTAATTAAGAAATGTAATTTTGTGTTTATAATCGGGCTGTAATTATAAAGTACGGAAGACCAACCAGAATACAATTAAGTTGCGTTATTTGAGTTAAGCATTGTTCTCCGCTGTTAAGGCCTTTACTTTTGCGAAACACGTGTGGAGAAGTTAATTTGATTTTTCAATTTCAACTGAGAAGGTTACCTACAAGTATCAGTATCATCTTATGAAATTTATATGATCTTAATTTTATATTAATCTCAGTTATGACATTTTTCCATAAATGAAATATCAAAATTAATAATAAAATGAATGGAAATACAAATAACACAGTAAAATGTAATAAATGTACATAAAATTATAGTATTTTATGTACACTTCTGATAAAATTTCATAAGAAAGGTACCTATAAATTAATTAGATACCTTTCTTATGAAAGTTTATGACCTGCTTTGTTTTATTTTCAAATTACATTTTTTTGGCGCAGAAACTAAGTTAACCTTGGTTCAAAATATTTTAAATAAACAGTAGAATTTCTGATTTTCATATTTTTTTATAAAATGGAAAAAAATGGTCAATTTTGCTGACTCAAAAAAAAAACAAGATTTTTAACGAAAATGGAATGTCGAACTGAAACCTTAGTGGGCGAAATAAAGTTAAGTTCCACATTCCAAGTACCTGAAGAAGGATGGAGCGTACAGCGGCCGACACGTTGTAATAAATATTGCGAAAAAATAAGGACAATAATGGGAATAATGTAAATAGTGTCGTCTTCTGGTTGGATAGTGTAGGCCGTTAGATAAGTGAGCATACGGCGAAATCAAGTTGGATACCCTGGTTCCCAGACGATCACTAACGTTAAGCGACATTGAGCTTGATCAGTACGTATCTGGTTGAGCGATTGGGAATATAAGGTGCTGTAAACTTGGATGTGTAGATGGTGTAATTGATAGCAGCTCCGAATTGGAGATTGGAGAGCCGAGTTTCAATTCCAGCCAGGATTGTTATATTCACTTACGCGCAAATACCCTTGGGAAAGGCATGTATCTACCTTTTCTCCTCCCAGCTATGGGTTAATTAGTAAGACTAGTAAATCATTATCTCCAAAAAAATTTTACGAACTACAAATATTTTCTGTCTTTACATAACCTGCAAATTGCTGTGTTGTAGAGTAGCTAGCACTCCTTCAACATTCTAACAGATGGCCTGGCTCATAGCCTTAAATAATTTACAATTAAGGACTTCAGCAGTTGATTAATAAGTTGATACTAAGCTGGTTAATATTCGGACTTGCTTCATTTGGCTATAAAGCATTTGACCCTCATCTATTCCTTGTAAGTTGTCTTGTGAATTGTTTTGTAATTTATTTTTCTGTGTTTTTTTTTTTAAAATGTATCCGTTTGCATCGGGTACTGGTGCTTAATAAATATATTAAGCATTCATTCTTCTCTGTGTATCATTCACCTCGATGATACAACAGGTTGATAGACCGTAAAATGTCAAACAATCAATCATTGGATAAAACATTGCCTCTCAATGAGGCTGTGCTGCGCTGTGTCACGGCTGGCTTCAATTCGCCAAACTCCAACGCCACTTCATAGGCTATATCAACAAAAGATGGTTTCTTTTTCCGATACCGGTAGGGTGGCACGCTGCTGCTGACTCCGTCGCTCGCCCGAAAGCCGTCGGTTGCGGTCGTGATGTTGCGGCAGCAGCGGCGTCGGCCGGCTACGGTGCGCACTGGTCCTTGCTGCTATCGTTTCGCGAACACACTAGACAGTCGGCGGCACACGTGCTGGCTATTATCTCTAAGGAACCTCAGTGCGTGTCGACTGTTGACCTTTCTTGCAGCCGTCAGCTGTCTTCGCATCAGTTTCGTCTTAAATCCAAAACAAAGACAAAGGCAATCCATCGCTGTCAGCATATCTTCCACGCCTACGGGATCTTCTGACCAGTAGTTGGCCATCTTGGGCCACCCTCCATATACTTTAACAATGCCTGGAACCTCTATTGGGAGTCAAATTACCATGCTTTATATTCACAAGAGCCAGATCAGACCAAAAATGATGCCCTGTCTGCTGGGGCTTCATAATACACCGACTACACATCTGCAGAGGGGTAAGACTTCACCAATGAGGCGTCCTGGGTATGACCATAAACTACATCCGGCTGCAAGGCCTCTGAGAAGAAGGTTTTGAGGAGCATGGAACCACGTCTTAATTGCTGGTGTTCCCAGGTTCATCCTAACCCTGAATAGTAACACCTGTTAGTGGGGACGAGCTATAGGCAAATAGTTAACACTCAAACTGAGATCAAAACACTCTGAAAGAGTAAAAAATGGGTTGTAATACCAACAATATGAAAATTTCTCCCATTTAACCAGTAGAGAAGACAATATTTATGAATAAAAATGACAATAGGAAAACTGGTAATTGCTGACGCGCTTCGTCTAATGTGGACTTTATCAAAGCAAAATGTGAAAATTATTATACGTATTTTGCTTTGATAAAGTCCACATTGGACGAAACGCGTCAGCAATTACTAGTTTTCCTATTGTCATTTTTATTCATAAATAGCAGAAATATATTTTTGAATAAAAATATGTATTACCAGCAATACATTTTGGAAAAAAAAATATTACCAGCAATACTTTTTGGAAAATAAATATTACAAGCAATACTTTTTGAGTAAAAAAACATATTACCAGCAATAATTTTTGGAAAAAAAAAAAACAACAAAAAACAAAAAAAAACATTACCAGTAATAAAAATTTTGTCGGCACCAAATAACCGATTGTGTTTGATGTGCCGTAAAACAAATTAAACCAAAGTAAATCAGAATAAAAATATCGCCTCATCTTGGATGGAGCTGACCAATTCTTATTTTCCATCATTGATAGAGTTAAAAATTGTTTACGCAGCCTTGTGTTTGATGACTTATTTTACACTTTTCAAAACCTTTCTTACAGACGAAATGTTGCTAGCCTCTCGCTACACTTTCGCTATTTTCAGATGGTCAGATTTCAGATGTTACACCTGTCCAGACATTCACAGCTAAGATGTGACATAGCAAGTGCACTAAGTCAACACATACTCCTTTCCTTCATAGTGCATTGGTATAGAGGAGATTCTCCTCAGACAGCATTTTCCCAAGAACGTTTGCTCTGTGGAACACATTCCCGATAGGACGCTTTCTCTATCACTATAATCTTGACCTCTTGAAGTCAACCGATGTCTATCCTATATATCCTCATAATATTTACGCTTTGTACGCCTGAAAAAAGAAACTCCACTTAGTAACTGTTGTAGCATACCTTCGGGCGATAATGGGTGTGCCACCATTCCCATAAATACTGTAGTGCATACTCTATGTATTGGTTTGCGGTCTGCGGTTGGAGATTCATTGTGGAATTCACTTCTAGCAGTTGACTCCTATTTCTACGCGCTGCTAGCGAATCTTATGTGTGTTGTTCGTGTTCTAAGTGTTATCATTTATTAGCAACCTTCGCGTGATTATTCTATTCAGTAACGTTCCCTAGGTTCCAACAGATAGATAGATAGATTCATTTCTAACGGTTTAGCAATCAATTACGTACTTTTTAAAGCCAGAATATATATATATATATATATATATATATATATATATATATAGAGAGAGAGAGAGAGAGAGAGAGAGTTGTAGCATACCTACGGACGATAATGGGTATGTCGCATTTTACATAAACACAGTAGTAAATACTGTATGTTTGTCTGCAGTTAGAGATTCGTCTCCCCAGACAAGGCTATATCGAAGGGTTGAGTTTCGTCTCGGGGAACAGCTAGCCGACACCGTTTTCTACGGAGTCTATGGAGAATTTTTGGCCGAGCTTACTAGCTCGGATACCCCACATCAATTTCGGCCTTCTGACACATCTAACCGCGTGAGGCGGTTCGTAGATATCCTGCAGTTGGAGATTCATTGTAGAATTCACATGATTCACTCCTAGCAGTTGACCACTTCTTCTACGCACCGCTGGCGAATCATATATGTGTTGTTCTTGTCCTAAGTATTATCGTTCATTACCAACCTTTGTGTGATTATTCTATTCAGTAACCTTCTCTAGGTTACAACTGTAACCCTCTACCTTGAGTGACTCTTGTGTCTTGTATTGGGTGGACAGTTGTAAAAAGTACTGTTTTCAAGTTGTAACTAGTACGCGTTCAGATCTAGTTGAGTGCAAAGTTTTTTCGAACTCATGTCAGCAGAACTAATGATTGTAGAATCTTTTAACGACCTGTCGGTGGCAATAAAAGCAAAACACGATTAAAATGAAGGGAAAACTTGGCCATAAGATTTTATTCTTCATTGTTGCTTTTAATAAATCGTTTCAAGCGATAAATTTGCAGAAGCGTAAATTTTTGAAAATGAAAATGAAACATTTGTAGAAATTTAAAAAATTATTTGTATTTTAAAATGTTGTTCAACATTGTGGAAAATGGCAAAATGGCAAGTGACAAAATAATAAATTATCGGCCGTACTTTCACGATACAAATGTGAAATATATATATTTTCTTTGTTGTATCTGTGCTTTTCGAAAATGTTTCCCTTTTGTGTATGTGAATGTTTGATACATGAGATAATGTTTACGTTGAAGCAGTGACAGCCATAGTATAGGCAAAAGTTAAAAACTGGCTTGCGATAGATATTTCAGTGTAATATCGGTTCCTTCATATCAGGGGTCGACAATCTTTTGCTGACTTTGTACTGAACGCAGCTTTTAACTAATTTCAAATAATGAAATAAAATTCGATTGAAAATTGATTTTAGGGCCGTGGGGATTTGAGGACTAAGCCACCCTCCCCTATATATTTTAAATAACTGAAAATCGTGGGGTCCAAATAAAACCCCACGACGATAATACCAGAGACGAACTTGCAAAAGTCGGGTTTAGAAAGTTAATCACCCTTACCAAATATTTTTTTTTTAAAGTATTAACCACGGGTGTCTACATAAAACACCACTACAAAAATACTGGGGTCGTACTTTCTGGAGGGAGGGTAGCCATCTCCCAACGTTTAAATATTAACTGAAAAAATCATTGGTTCCAGTCGAGATAAAAATCCTATGGCAATAATACAAAGGCAGTACATTTTAGATGGAGAGTTTAGTGGTCTAAGCCGTCCAATATTTTTAAATAAATATTTATTTAATTACTATACTCTATCGTAAGGGTCGGCAATCTTTTGCTGACTCTGTACAGACTTAGGGTTTTAAAATCATTCAGTGTGCCAACAAGATACGTATTTTTATTCAAGTCAAAGTCAATATACCTATTCTACAATATATTTTATATAGTAATAATATAGTATATATTAAATTGACTCAGCTAAATGTCTTCTTTGTATTGTAGTAGTTATTGGTTCGGACTTTGTGATGTCATTTGCAGCTGTGTCCCATTGGAAATGACTTAGAACTTGAAATTATATATAGAGAGAGAGAATGACGTAGAACATAAAAGAAAGACTGACATAGAACTTCAAAGAGAGAGAAAGAAAGAGAGAGACAGAAAGAGAGAGAGAGATGATGACAGAATTTGAAAGAGAAAAATAATGAATGACATAGAGAAGTCGTCAACCTTTTGCTAACTATGTACCGACTTAGGGTTTGAAAAACATTCAGTGTTCCTACAGCATACGTATTTTTATACAAGACAAGGTCAATATATTTGTTCTACAATATATTTTATATCGTAATATGAAGAAAAATTTTGAAAAAACAAACAAATCCTTAAATGTTGTTTAAAATGAATGTAATGTCGACGTCAGACGTCGACATTTCATTCATTTTAAACAACATTTAAGGATTTTGTTTGTTTTTTCAAAATTTTTCTTCATTCTGTCGGATTTATATCCATTTACACTTGCTTATATATCGTAATATATACAATAATATGTAAACCACATTAATAGAAATAAACTGTTTTTAAAAGTTTTTTTTTAAAGTTTTATTATTAATGGGAGTCCAACGAGTGAGCAGTTTTGAAACTGCTAAATATCTTCGTTGGTTTAGTTTGTTCGGATTTCATGATGTAATTTGCGGCTGCGTGCCATTGAAGTTACTTGGCATGGCACATGTGGCACGCGTGCCGTAGAGTGGAAAGCGAAAAAAAATTATTTTATTATAAATTCACAAAAGGTTTCAAATAGATTTTAGCCTTTACTCCATAAAAAGCTATTTACTTAGAAATTGAGCAATTTCTAAGCGCTCAAGGTTTACATGATGGTTTATGAGTATTTTGTATACCAGAGGTCGGCAACATTTTGCTGACAATGTGTTGACTTAGGGTTTTAAAATCATTCAGTGTGCCAATAGCATACATATTTTTATTTCAAGTCAAGGTCAGTATTTTATATAGCAATATATACAATAATATGTAAATCCATAAACAGAAATAAACTATTTTTAAAAGTGTTTTTAAAAAAAGTTTTATTATTAATAGGAGTCCAACGAGTGAGAAGTTTTGAAACAGTTGAATATTTTCGTTGGTTTAGTTATTGGTTCGGACTTCGTGATGTGATTTACGGTTGCGTGCCATTGGAAATTGGTTGGGGAGCCACGTGTGGCAACCGTGCCTTAGGTTGGCGACCCCTACTCTATATGGCAGTGAATGCTGGACAATCTCCCTACAGATGAAGAAGAGACTTAAGTAAAAAAGAAACGTGGTTTTAGAGATGGACGTCGAGGATACAATGGACAGAAGATGTGAGTAATGGCGAAGTTTTAAGAGAAATGGAATCAAAAGGAAACTTGTATTTAAACTCAGAAAGAGGCAGTTGAAATTCCTAGGGCAGATAAGGAGACATGTTGAAGTCAAGAGAAGGAAAAAAAAGAAGAAAAAACGCGAATAATGCATTTGTTTAAATGGTTGACAAATGGTGGAAATTGTGGAGAGGTATGATCGTCAACATTTTGAAGGGACGCAACACATAAAACAAATCAGAATTATAAAAAAATGCGCTTTGCAGCGAGGAACAACCTGTTGAATACAGTAGAACCAGGTAGCAATGGCTCGGCAACGGCTCAGCAACGACTCCTTACTCTCTGCCTCAACACCACTGCAGGCCCTGCCACCCTCATCAACATATATGCCCGGCAATCTCAGCCACAGCAGACAGCAAGGACGAGTTTTACGACAAGCTGGCAACCACCATCAGCAGTATCCCCAGAAAGGAACAACTTGTTCTCCTGAGCGACTTCAACGCCAGAGTGGGTGTTGATCATGACTCTTGGCCTTCGTGCCTTGAAGAGTTTGGCGTCAGGAAGATGGACAATAGCCAGCGACTGCTCGAGCTATTTACTTACCAAAACTTGTGCAAAGCCAACCCCTTTTTCAGGACGAAGCCCCAACACAAAGTCTCCTGGAGACATACTAAAAGCAACGGCAGCAGCTGGATCTCATATTAGTCAGACGAGGCACCATTAAGACCATCCTTCACATACGTTCTTACCACAGCACGGACTGCAATATAGACCACTCCTTGGTGTGTTACAAGATCAAGCTCCAACCCAAGGGAATAAAGTATTTTTGCAATTCTATAGATACAGCGGAAAAAAAAGCATCGCTCTTCATTTTGTTAAAGCGTGATGAAGACAGTTGTTTGGAGAACAGTTGATGTCGGGAAAGACCAGTTAGCACCGACCCAGAAGAAACATCCACAGTGGAGGAGCCCCACCATAACAGAATGCAGTAGAAAAAAAAGGGACCGAAACTGGCTGCTATGATTCATCCTAATGTAAGATTTTGGATTGGATCCGGAAATGAAGGCATTTACTGGTAAGAAAGATCTTGTTTATTTTTCCACTCAATATTTAACAATGTCGAAACTTGCAAACTGTATTTTCTACCAAAGACTCTAGAAAACTCAAACGATCGTTTCAAAATATACCCCCTTGTGCCAAATAATTGAAACAGAACGAATAATTACATTATTATTTTTTTCGTATTTTTTCAATGAAACATGGCCCATTTCACATGTTAGTACTTCCTATATCCATTCCACGAAGTCGTTCCTTACGGATTGATCACAGATTCTCGATTGGATTTAAATCAGGAGAGATTTCGAGTTAATCTATAATACTCTGATTTGCTTACTTGCAAGGCTCTTCAGTGTCAGCAGTGTTACAATTTTCGTACATATTCTTGGAGTAACTTCCATCACAGAAAATGCCCGTAGGACAACTAATCGACAGTCGAGACAACAGTGTCTCGGTTTGATGACGCAATATTTTTCAAGGGCAAACAAATTTCATCATACACCCCGAAAATAGATTCATATTACTGCACACCACTGCAAATGGCCTAATCTTAGGAAAAATAAAAATCGATAACACCTTGTCACTTCATTGGGTCTAGAACTGAACATATAGTGATAGAAATTAAACTACAGCGGATGTTTCAGTTAATTTGCAGAATTATTCTTTCTAAGTTACAATTGGCTAAAGTTTATATTTAGTTATGGCAAGTTAATTAATTAATTAAGAAGGAAAAGATATTAAAAGTTTTAGTAATTTTCCTAAATAAGCTCGTTTGCAAATGTCACAAAATGTGGCACGTTTTTTCGAGGGCTCTCATTGGTCAAAAATGGAACGATGACAATTCAGATTTCGATATGTGAGCTATATCATTTTGCAAAAAAAATTACAGTTTCATTTCTGCAGAAATATACAGATGGTTTGTCATATATTCTTTGTTCTTCTACAGATGACTAATGATTCCGTTGCATTTGTGCACAATATAAAATGAGAGAGATATGAACGGAGGTAGATAGATCTGAACAGAAGGAAATAGATAGATAGATAGATACATGACAGAATGAGATAGATAGATAGATAGATAGATAGATACGAACAGAAATAGTGACATATGAACAGAAGGAAATAGATAAATAGATAGATAAGAGAATGAGATAGACATATATGAACAGACTGAAATATATATATATATATATATATATATATATATATATAGATAGATAGATAGATATTAACAGACTGAGGTAGATTGATATGAACAGACTGAGATACATAGATAGATAGATAGATAGAGAGAGAGATATGAATAGACTGAGATAGATAGTTAGAGAGAGAGAGAGAGAGAAATATGAAAAGACTGAGATAGATAGATATGAACAGACTGAGGTAGATAGATAGATAGAGAGAGAGATATGAATAGACTGAGATAGATAGATAGATAGATAGATAGATAGATAGATAGATCGATGAAAAAACTGAGATAGATAGATAGATAGATAGATAGATATATGAACAGACTGAGATAAATAGATAGATAGATAGATAAATAGATAGATAGATAGATATTAACAGATTGAGATATATAGATATGAACAGGTTGAGAGATAGATAGAGCGAGAGAGATAGAGACAGATATCAACAGGTTCAGATAGATAGTAACAGATTTAGATAGATAGAGAGATATGAACAGACTCAGATATGAACACACTCCGATAGATAGATAGGAAAATTTATGATTTCCTTTTTTTTCATTGCTTCACACAGACACATCTAGATACAGGTAAAATCATCGGCTCCCTACAGATAGATGCACCGCTAAAATAAGTACCTGACTCCTCATGCTATGTCTTACCTTTATAAGAGCCAGATCAGGCCGAAAATGGAGTACTCGTGCCATATTTCGGAAGGAACTGTTCGAGCTTCACTTTCCAGACGCATGTGGCAAATCTCTTGCTGCTCTATCCCTACTTCCAGGGAAAGCCCTCGGAGGAACTAAATTCCTTGGTTCCGCCAGGTCGAAGCCTCATGGCTAGGGCCCGCCATGCCACTTACATTGTAGCAAACCACCCAAGATGCCCCCGTATTCCATCAGCGAGGAGTACGGTTCTTTCTGCGAAGCACTGCTCTGTGGAATAAAATTCAAAGAGGATGTTCTCCCCGATCACTACCATCTTAACTTCTAGAGTTATCCGTTATATCCATATAAACTACCCCTTAGCGTAACCTTCTATCGTGAGTACCTTGTACCTTACTGTAAAATTAGATCAGAGAACTGACGATTAATGTTACATATGTGGTGTCCATAAAGTTCGTGTGCACTTTAAACAATTTATAACTTTATTTATATTTGCGATAGAAATAATTTATAAAAAGGATTAGAAAGAAGTAAATCTATATTTTTTAAGGTTTTATTGAAATTTTATTTAAGTTTCCACATGTCCTCCATCATTAGCAATACAAAGGGTAATACGATTTTGCAGTTCATGGAAAACATTTGCCAACTGATTTACAGTAATGCCTGAAATCACATTAGTTATTTTAGCTATACTTAAAACTAGGTACATTAAACTTTATAACATTTTTTACAGATTATTTCTATCGCAAATACAAATAAAGTTATAAATTTCTTAAAATGCACACGAACTTTATGGACACCCTGTATTTGACGAGATTAAAGCGAGAAAACACGAGACTGAAAATGCTGTGTTTATACTTATCTAACAATCACTCTCGTTGATCTAATTTACGTAGTGTTACCAGGGCCATTGATATTTATTGCGTTTGCCCTTGGCGTCAAAGTCTAAATATACATTGAGAAGTTAACATAAATATAGTTTCAGTCATTGGACGGACTTTGTATCTGATATCAATTTTCTGTGATTTGCATATCATTACAGGGAGGTCAGTGTGTTCCCTTTTCTCTCCAAACATAATATATCAAATTTAATTATCTCGCTTCAGATTTAATTTCAATTCTTTCTGGCTGACTGCTTTCTCCTTTACAGTTGATGCCACACATGCAGAGGACCTTGAACATGCAGATTTAGATATTCTGCTATGCAGAAGCAACGTTTGTAAATAGGCTGTTTTGTATAATTTTGCATTAAAAAAGATATTCAAGCTTTATATAGACTGCAGATATCTCGCGAACCACGTTTATAATAAATTAGACTCGACATATATTGGTATACAAAAAAGAACAATGTCAAATCTATCTATCTATCTATCTATCTATCTATCTATCTATCTATCTATGTATCTCGTTTGTGACCATATCTATCTATCTCATTTGCGTTCATATGTATCTCAATTCTGTTCATATCTATCTATCTATCTATCTATCTATCTATCTAATTTGCGTTCATATGTATCTCAGTTCTGTTCATATTTATCTATCTATCGTCTAGCATGAAACAGCCTGTCGCCTCTGAGTGTTGACTTCAATGTTCACATTTATATTTACATACGCTCTATCTCTGATATTGAGCACTTTATTCCATAAATATAGCACATCATAAAACTATATCTCTTCATATATATATATATATATATATATATATATATATATATATATATATATATGAATATATATATATATATATATATATATATATATATATATATAGAGAGAGAGAGAGAGAGATGTATATGTATTAGTTTCAATCCTTTCAAGGCTACGGCTTAATGTTTGTGGTAGCAAAGTGTTATATAAAAAATACATAATTAAAAACGAGAAGTAAAAAAAATCTTTCCACAAAATCACATAAGTTACTTGCATAACGGTGAAAAACATTCTGAATTTACGGTATATATATATATATATATATATATATATATATATATATATATATATATATATATATATATATATATATATATATATATATATATATATATATATATATATATATGTGCGTATGTCTGTGTGTATATGTGTGTGTTTGTGTGTGTGTCTTTTGCGTGTAGTACTAATCCTATTAATCCCTAAGATATATATATATATATATATATATATATATATATATATATATATATATGTGTGTGTGTGTGTGTGTGTGTGTGTGTGTGTGTGTTTATTTTGCCAAATAATAAGGAAGGTATGTCTATCATTTTGAAATTTAATTTTTGAAATTTTCGAATAGGTTTTGCGTTATCAGTAAATTTGCCAATGTTCATATTTATCTTCATTTTTATTATTTTTTTTTCTTGTGTCACTTGGCGGCCTCCATAACTTGCTTTGACATTTTGGATAACATGGGGAATATTTATAAGTCTTCTTGAATTTAAAAATTTCGAAAAACCAATAACATTTTTGCTCGTGGATATAAATACCTTGTCTCAAAAAAAAAAATAAAACTCTTGCATTTTCCTTGAGAAAGTCCATCAGAGGAGGTTAAGTTTTCCATTTGTTTTTATCCATATTGTCCTGTGACAGAT